CAAGGCGGTGGAAAACAAAAAGTCGTAGAAGGAAGATAATAAGGGAGGTAAGTGCAAATTTTTAAAAATTATGCGGCAAATGTCTAAAAGCCAAAAAAAAAGTTGTGGCACAATTCTAAACCTCAAAAAGAAGGTTGGAGAAGGAGTTTGTTGCATCTGATTGGTGAGACAATGCGGTGGAAAACAAAAAGACGTAGAAGGAAGATAATAAGGGAGGTAAGTGTATAATTTTAAAAATTCTGTTGAAAATGTCTAAAAGCCAAAAAAAAAGTGTCGCAAAATTCTAAACCACAAAAGGTTCCTGTTCAACAACCTTTTGTTAATTGATATATATATATATATATATATATATATATATATATATATATATATATAATGAAAAATGAATATAAGAGTCATTTTTGTAATTTATATTTCAATTCACTAATGTTAGGACGTATGATTCAAAGGTATGATACAATTAAAAAAAAAATTGGCTATAAAAACTCTATAGTTGTAACATCCCGGGTTTTCAGGTATTCTCAAATCATTCCTTTGCTTTTAAGTATGTCATTTTGGTCCTTTGATTATAAAGATGTAGCCCTAAGAAGCCCTAGTGGCAAAATGGTAATTTTGGGAGCGAGAGTTGTACGCTGGGCGTACATGTGAGTACGCTGGGCGTACACATATGTACGATGGGAGTACTAATGTCCGGGTGAAACCCTAATTTTTAGGGTTTGAGGAGTATTTAAACACCTTTATGGATCGTTTAGCCTCACCCTTTCAGCCTCCAAGCCCTTGAGTCGTTCTTAGCAAACCCTAACCCCATAAGAGAGTGTTTTGAGCTTTAAGTGTGTTATTTGTGTGCTTAAAGGAGAAGGAAGTGCATCAAGGAGTCTAGAATGGAAAGCAAGCTTGTGGATCTTGGATCATCATCTTCTTGGGAAGCTCCAGATGGTAAAAAGTTGCTACCTTTATGCTTGGTTTGATTAGATCTCATCTTGGTAGCTTTATGATGTTCCTTTGTCCCAAAAAGTCCCATTGTTGTGCATGTTTGGTGTTGGACGTTTTGGGTTGTCCTTTCAGACCCTAGGAAGGGTTCTAAGCCATAAAAATAAGGTCCCTTTAGCTAGTTTTCTCTCCATGCTTCTTATGGAAGGTCTTAATGGATTAAGACCATGTATTAAGGACTTTTTGGACGTCTAAAGTCATAAAGTTGGAGACTTTATGACTCTAAGGTGTATTTGGACCATGGATATGAAGTTTGGGCTTAAGTGCTTAAGCCATTAAGCACTTATTGATGTTTTGGACTCTGCGAGGGTACGCCCCGCGTAGAAGGGAGTACGCCCCGCGTACTTGGTCAACGTACCCGTTTTTCAGTCAATGCGAAGCTTCTGTACGTTGCGCGTACATCCGGAGTACGCCCTACGTACTCGCATGGTTAAGCTGTTTGCGAGTTAACTCGGCTGGGTTGACTCGGTTGGGTTGACCCGACTGGGTTGACTCAGTGGGTTTATGGATTTTGACCAGTTGACCTTGAGTTGACCATGTTTGACCAAGTTTGACATTTAAGGGTATTTTGGGTATTATTGGGTTTTGATGGAATTGGTCACATGGTGGTTGTAGACATTTGAGTTGTGAGATGAGATTCAGAGTCGGGCCTTATCAGTTATATGCTGCTTGTGAGGTGAGTTTTCATCACTGTACTTTCGGGTCAAAGGCACCAAGGTCGGCCCTTTGGTTTGATAACCTGATATTGTTGATATGATGAGTATGGAATTGATATGCATGCTACTCGTGATATGCTAGTCTGGTAGATCTGTAGGACTACATGTGATACTGTTTATTTATCCGAATATGTTATTATCTGTTATATGTCGACATATTGTGTGGGTTGGGTTGAGGTTGTTAGCTCCGTGCTGTAGCCAACAAACCCTGGATCAAGCCAGATATGAGCTGAGGGCCGGGAAGGGCATGCCAGACTCATACTGAGGGCTCATGAGCATTCCAGATACGAGCTGAGGGCCGGGAAAGGCATGCCAGACTCGTACTGAGGGCTTAGTGGTATTCAGTCCGAGGACTGATCAGGCCGGGGAGCAAGCCAGACATAAGCTGTGTGCCCAGGGGGCAAGCCAGACTTATGTTGTGGGCTCGGGGGTAATCCAGTCTGTTAGCTGTGGACCCATTGCATGTTGTTATTATATTTGTGCTATTTGTTATGTATTGGTATTTTGGGGAAACTCTAAGCTTTGGGCTTACAGTTTTGGATTATGTTTCAGGTACCTCAGATGATCGCGGGAATGCGAATGCGTGATCCTGCACCTCCTCATGTTTTGTTTTATGATTTTGGGATTACTCTGATATTGAACTCATTTTGAAAACAATTTGTAAACAAAGATGGTTTTTGGGTTTGTTTAAATGTTTAAATTTTTTATGAATTTTATGGATGTTACAATAGTTTTAAATGATATAAGTGTTTGCATGGTTTGTAAAAAAATAATAAATAAAAAAAAAAAAAAGAAAGTCAAGAGAATTTCTATAATTTGGATAATATATGTATAATGAAAAAGAATATAAGAAACATTTTTGTAATTTAGATTTCAATTCAATTAAGTTAGGAGGTATGATACAAAAGTACGATACAATTAAAAAAAATAGTAGAAGAAAATGAGCCCCATCATACATACTTATAAAGCTAGCATTTTTTCTTGAATCTCATGCATTTGAAACCCCCATAAAAATTTTCCAACACCTCATGCATTTGAAACCCCCATAAAAATTTGCCAACACCTCATGCATTTGAAACCCCCACACCCTTTCACCTTCAAAGTAATTAATCACACATAATCCTATTCCAAGAAAATCACACACTCTATAAGCTCAACACCTCATGCATTTGAAACCCTCACACCCTTTCACCTTCATTATATATGTAGTTATATTAGTACATTTTTCTTACAAAAAGTCGTCATTTGGTTGAAGATATTATGATTCAAAAGTTTTCATATAGTTGAAGCATTCTTTTTCAAGAAAAACACTTTGATTGCAGGTTAGTGAAGAATTGTTATCAAGTTTCTATGGTTGAATGGTGTTAAATAAAGAAAGAAGATTCAGAAAACGAATATAGGTTGTTTTTTGTTTGAGCATAGTAGACGACTGTTAGTTTTTTCTTTTGATTTAAACGTATATTTATGTAACATTTTTATTTATATATTCAACCACCGAATGTTCTTATTTATTTGATTATAGTTTTTCTATTTTGATTATGTTTATTTTCTATTTTTTTTGTTGGGTTATCCTACACAACATATTTACAAGACAATATTTAAAAAGATAACATAATTTTTAACATTTGATATGTAATTATGATGACTTATCATGATATGTTCTTCATATGAAAGTAATTTATCCATATTACTACGACAAGAATTACATATGACATTTACGAAAATATATATTATATGTGATTTGTTTAACATATATATATATATATATATATATATATGCACCTATGTATGTTATAAATTTATAATTAAATATATTTATGTTTAATAATTGAATGGATAAAAATAATGCATCAAAATCAATTATTTAGACGAATATAATAATAATAATAATAATAATAATAATAATAATAATAATACACATTTCCAAATAACGTATTCATTTGAAACTCACACTACAATTCAAGAGTTTTCTAATTTATGTATATTTATTAGTTACAACTCAAGAGTTTTTAACTTATGATTATTAATTAGTAATCACTAATAACTTTTTATTTTCCTTTCTTTTATAAGGTTGTAAAGTTTTGCTCGTTAAAAACATTAATGTATTTGAAGAGATTTGCGATTTAAATATGAAAAGTTAATATAAATGTTATAATAAATGTTTTAGTGTTTTTATGTTATTAAAAGTTGTAGTGTTTATTTTTCATATTTTTTATTATTCGTTGTATATATATCTTTTTAATACAAATGTTATAATAGATGTTTTTTTTATTTTTATGTTACTAAAAGTTGTAGTTCATATGTTTGTTCATACATTTTGTTACCCGTTATATATAGATTATCATACGTTTGATATATAATTTACACAATTTTAAACGATTTATAAAATTATCAAATAATTGTATATATCACAATGACTTAAAAATTAAAACTATAATCATCATATCATATCATACTATATTATAAATGAAACATTTTTTCTTTCACCACATTCATTTGAAACTCTCAACTTTTCATATTTCCCTACAATATGCTTAATTTATTAACTTAAATATGCTTTTAGTTGTAAACATTATCATAAATGGAAGAATTTGTGAATTATCAATATGATATACTTAATTTGTTAACTTCAATATATAGTTAAATAAATAACTTACATTAATATATCAAATAAGCTTAAAAATTTAGTGTAAAATTTAAAACCTAAAGTAAAATATTAAATAATGTTTAAAAAAATTCAATATATATTTTTTAACATAGTTAAAAGGAAAACATTAAATATAATAATAATAAAAGAACCTAAATTGATGAATCGAATTAACTAAAAGGTGTCTGAAAACTATATTATAACAATATATTTTTAGGGAAGTGATATTGCCACAGAAACTTTTTATACTTCCACTGGAAAATAATACTGATTGACAATTTTGCCCTTCTTTACTTTAGAGAGAGAAATACCAATGTTTCCCTAAAAAAACACAAGATCTTCAAGCTGATATCAGAATTGGGATTTGACCTACGAAATTCTCACCGTAAAACAAAAAACGAGTATTTTACATAACAGAGCTAACATCACTCAGACGTCAATTCTCGCCCAGGCGTTGAGGTTCAACTGGACGTCGCCGGAGTACAAACATATCCCGGAAACGGACTTGCACTCGAATGGGTAACTCACTAAGTAGGTTGCCGTCTTCGTCATAATAGATTACACCGGAGAAATACAGGGGCTGATATTTATCCCCTATCAGTATCTCCTTCCGTCAGCCCGTCGCCTCCGTGCTCACCTCCTTCTTCTCATGTTCTCTTCATCCGGTGGCGCAACTTGATAGCTTTGTTGCTTATGGAGGAAATTAGTTTCTTCGGCATCCCCAGATAGATCTTTGTATTGTTGTTCAACTTTTTCGAAGCTATAATCGTTTGCTTAGCATAGAGAAGCAGCATAGATGTTATCGATTGCAAAACACCGGTGAACATATGCTTAGCCTTGACATCGTTGGAGCTTGCGTCGTTGTTACCGGGTTTGCTCGCCATGTCGGAGGAAGGGCTGTGATTTGATTCCAATACGAGGAGGATGAGGGAATACATATAGGGAGGTGATATTGTCATTGCAACAAACGAATAAAGAAGGCTACATGGTGGTAAAGTTTGAACCTTAATATGGGAAATACAAAATCAATCAAATCCAATCCTTTTGTCGCCATGGCTGTGACGAAAGGTAGTTTACTGATGTATATTTATGACAAGGTCTCCTTTGCTTTGAGTGATATAAAGTGGTCTTCCAGATATGGGATGCTTATTTGAAAACAGAAGCTACTAAGGTTCATTTGTTTTCAATTCTTAATTTGTATGATCACGCTCTAAAACTCCAAACGATTCCTCCATGGGATGTGAGATTATGGTGGAATACAAAGATGTTTTGAAAATATAATTTTCTTTCAGTAAAAAAATACTATTGTATAGGAGCAGTTATTATCCTGGATTTATGGTGTGCGTTTTGAAAAACTAAAACAGGTTGCTTTCTTTTAAGTAAATAGGGGCAAAACTGTCAATTCATATTTTTTCAGTGGAACTATCAAAAATTGCCGTGGCAATATCACCACCCATATTTTTAACCTGCGCCGCACAACACGCGAGAATTCGTCTAGTAATAAAATAAAGCAAATGTATATAAATCTAAAAGTTGCATATAGGAAGATTCGAACCTGGACTATTATAATAACATGCCGCGTTTAAAAAAAATCTCTTAAAACCAACTCACCTACTAAAACTTTGTTGAATATGTTAACAAAAATTATATATAATATGATACAGAATTAATTTTGGGCCCCAAACCATAACGAGGCCCGGGACCTTCGTCCAACTTACCCATCTACCGCCAGGCTTTTTTGCCAACGTAATTATTATCAGAATTTAAACTATATATATGGTGCTTGAGATAAGGATGTCAAAACCTTAACAAACAAACATGCAAGTAAAAAAAAAAAATTGACAGAATGTGAGTAATATCAGTCTGAAACACTGTTAAGTCCAATTTATATCCGATAGAGTACATCTTTTTTTTTTTTTTAATATGTTAGTCAAAAATGCTAATGTCTTAAATATTTGAAGTCTTGTCCTATCAGCAAACAACCGATAAGTTTTCCGTTTATTAAAAAAGTAACATTTTTTTAATAACATGATCCAATTTTTGGAGACGCCTCGGGTGATTTTCCAATATTCAATAATAACATTTGGTATTTTTGTGATTATCCTAATTAAATATATATTTAGAAATATAGGTTTAAAAAGTAAAATGGTGATAATCGATGGCAAAATATGACTTTAACCCTCCTCTTTTTGTCCCAATTGAAAAAGGTTTTCGATTTCATGATGTTACAAGAAAATCAGAAACGCTCAATCTCCGATTAGTGTATCTGTCGTCTTCTTCCGACTAACTCCTCCTCCATCACACCAAATGTCAACAGAATCTTCGCCTGATGCTATGTCGCGCTCCGTCGGCGGCACCGAGTACAGCTGGTGCAGAGCCGTTCCCGGCGGCACCGGCGTTACTGCCTTAGCCCTACTCTTCTCCAAACCTCCCAATCTATCGCATCTGCAAGCCTCCATTCAGAAACTCCAAGACTCCCACCCTATCCTCCGTTCAAAACTCCGATCCAATCCCTCCACCAACACTTTCTTGTTGTTCACCCCCTCCGCTTCCACCCCCCTCGAAATCCATACCTCCGATCTTGCCCAATCATACTACCAAGCGCTCGAGCACGAGATGAACACAAACGCCTGGCGCAATCAAGACAATCGGGTTACTGAAAAGGACGTGATGTTCGCGAGCCTTTACAATTTGCCGGATCAGAAATGGGCGGTGGTCCTGCGGTTGCATACGGGTGTGTGTGACCGAACAGCAGCGGCGTTTTTGTTGAGGGAGTTATTGGGGTTAATTGCCGCCGGAGAAGGATGCGTTGACAAGGAATTAGTGAAAGAAGATGGTATGGGTTTGCCGATCGAAGATTGCATACCTGCCGGAAAAGCTAATAAACCGTTTTGGGCTCGTGGGGTTGACATGCTTGGGTACTCCGTGAATTCTTTCAGATTTTCGCATTTGGATTTTAAAGCTACTGGTTTGCCCGATTCGACTCAATATGTGAGGATGCAGATCGGATTAGAAGATACCGAGCAGATTCTTGGGGCAAGTGTTCTTATTTTCAAATCACATTGCTTTAAATTTCATCCTTTTATATCATATCATCCTATAACATATATAACCACTATACTCAATTGGGTATATAGATCTTGAACTTGTTTCTTCCCAATATTAGCTAATCAAAATGATCATCCCAGTTAATAGAACTTTCCAGGTGATCCAAGATCTGCAAATTTGTAATGTCTTCTTCTCAATAATTAATATCAGTTAACTAATGACATGACTTTTTTCAGGGCTGCAAATCAAGAAAGATCAAACTATATGCTGTGTTAACAGCAGCTGCATTTATCGCTTCTCGTGCTTCTAAAAACCTTCCTGATGACAAATGGGAGAAGTATTTACTTGCAACACTCATTGATTGTCGTGCACTTCTTGATCCAGTTCTTAGTGATCATCATATTGGTAAAACACTAAATTGGTAATCTCTTTGATTGTAGAATTGGATGGATAGTATCTATCTTCTCTCCTCTCCATGACATGACATGACAGACTTTGTCATACATTGATATCAGTATCAGTCTCAGTCTAATGCAGGTCAAACACATTGTGTCCTGCATAACAAATAACAAATAATTGGCATTAACTTGAAATTTGTCAAATGATGTAGGATTTTACCATTCTGCCATCTTAAACTCCCATGATGTGAAGGGAGGGGAAGATTTGTGGGATCTAGCAAAAAGAATCTACTCGGCCTTAGAAAATGCAAAGAACAACAATAAGCACTTCACGGACATGGCTGACTTAAACTTCTTGATGTGCAAAGCCATTGACAACCCTGGTTTGACCCCTTCTTCTTCATTGAGAACTTCACTCATTTCTGTATTTGAAGAGCCAATAACTCAAAACTCCAGTCAGTTTCACAAGGACATTGGTTTGCTTGACTGCATTGGTTGTGCTTCTGTTCATGGTGTGAGTCCTTCACTTGCAATCTTTGACACGGTTCGTGATGGTGAATTGGATTGTGCTTGTGTCTATCCATCTCCAACACATTCAAGGGAACAAATGCAAGATTTTGTAGATCAAATGAAGAAAATTCTTTTAGGATCTAATGTTTCTCAATGAAAATTGTTGTAATTCAAATTGCATGTGTACTGTTTTGGATTCGGGTACCCTCATCAATATTCTTGCATGATTTTTTTTTCTATCTTGAGAAGTAGAACAAACATTAGTTGTCCTCATAAGTCATAACTTGCATCCCTTGATATGGTTCTTGCTTATAACATCACATTCAAGGTCTAAAAACCTTCCTAATAATATCTTATACTTAAAGAAGATAAATATATATACCAATTCAACATATTTTATACAAAGTTATGATTAAATAATGGATATTAAAATTACATCTAAAATCTAACTCAAAAATTTCTTTTAAAAAAGTATTTTATATAAGAAAATCCATAAGTCCACTTCTTAAAATTTAAGATCAAAACCGGACCCGGTTCTATTCTGGTTCCAAAATTTTGTAACGAGGTGATTCCACTTATATAGGTTTCAGGTCCAGAGTGGGCGGTGGATGCTCACCCCTATACAAAAGCGTTAGTGTCATTGTATTTGAAGTGTTTGCCATTGGTTTTACTAATTGTACATCTATATATGACGGTTTGCAAAATTGAAGGATCAGACGAGTTGAAAATGGTTAATGTGGTAGGATGTTCGAGATCCCTGTCATAAGGTATAAATGGGGTATAAAGGAGGTAAAGTATTTTGCAATCTACCATAAGGCATATAGACTACTTTGTAGAAAACTTCCAACAAAAAGGAACAAATATACAAAAGCATATAAAGATATAAAAATAAGGGAAATTGACATTGTAGCACAACAAAGTTTTGGCTTTATCCCGGATTGGTCACTAAAGTTTTTTTTTTTTTGCACAATTAGTCTATAACAACCCAAAAACCAGGATACATTTTTCATTTTAAAAACAAGAATTACAATCATCACATTATTCTAAAACCATCACAAAACAATAATGTCAAATCATCAGAGTACAATATCAAAAGTGCGGAAAATAGTGAGGAGTGTATGTTGTGTCATCACGACGGGCCCTTCTCTTTAGTACCAAAAGTACCTGAAAACACAAATATAAACTATAAGCAAAAGCTTAGTAAGTTTCCCCAAAGTACCACATACCAAACATAAATAAGCTAGTGTTATGGGTCAAACCATAGTCTTACAAACAATTTCCTGCCGAATGCCAAATCCCGGTCTTTAATACAGTTGCCAGGGGCCAGATCCTAGTCTTTCACGCAGATGCCAGGGGCCATATCCTGGTCTTTCATACAGTTGTCAGTGGCCAAATCCTGGTCTTTCATACACATTTCTCAAATATAGCTAACACCCTATATCACAAATAATGGGTCAGCCTTGGTGCCTTCAACCCATTGATAAGAAAACTCACCTCAGTCTGCTGATAAATAACTAATTGCTTGGCTACCGAACCGGAAGATCCCACACTGAATATACACAATACCCTAATCAGAGATAGGTTATAAACCATAATCGTGCTCCTAAACCCCAAGTCCAAACTCATAAGATAAAGGCCCATTTACCTTTCCCATAATGGGTCTAATCAACCTTGGCCCTAAAACACAATAATGGACTCTAAGGCCTAAAAGGCCCAACTCAAGCAACTTAAGGCCTACTAACAGAGTTCTGAGGCGCACCTACTCTAAACAAGCCAAAGCCTAAAAACTAGCTAAGGCCCAAAGGTTCAAGGCCCAACCGAAGTCCAAAAGCCCACTGAGAGGGGTACGCTCGGCGTACTCGTCCGCCTGCCAGTATGCGATGCGTACCCCTTGGTACGCTCAGCATACTGAGTTGCTTGCCACCTTAAGCCATTTGGTGCTTAATCCTTACAACCATGCAATACAACTTTAAGATCTCGACCATTATGGAATTCTAAGACGTAAAGTTGGCAACTTTATGCCTTAGCATGTCTTAATGGAACCCAACATCCATTTTTGTCCAACAAAGCTCACATTAAGGACTTAAATTCATGCATGGATTCATATCAACCATCAATATGACATTTTTATGCATCTAGAACATCAAAGGGACTGAGATCTAACACCTCTAACTTCTAGAGTTGCCCAAACTCACAAAAAGAACCCATGGGACCAAATAAACTTATAAACAAGCTCTAAACTCTAACAATCAACATGAATCATCAAGGTAATGACTTTTTACCTTCAAAAGCTTCCAAAGTTGATGAAGACTTTGGATCTAGGAGCTCAACCTCAACAAATGCTTGGTCTCCAAGTTTCTTCTTCTTGAATACACACTAAAATGCCACAAATCACTTCAAAGCTCAACAACACTCAAAGGAGGGTGAACTAGGGTTAGAAGGGACGTAATGAAGAGTGGAGGCTGATGAGGGTGAGTGTCCAAAGGCCATAATGTTGTTTAAATAGGGCTCATGACCTAAAAATTAGAGTTTAGTCTTTGGCTACGTACACCCTGCGTACATTATGTACACCCAACGTATGTGGCTAAGCTCCCCGAGCCAAAAGCGTACATGTACGCTAAGCGTACCTAAATGTACGCCTAGCGTACGAGGGGACCTTTTCGCAAAAATTTTAAACTTCAAGGACCAAAGAGGAAAATACCTGGAATCGAATGTTACATAATCCCTCAAATTTCAAATTACCTGTCAATTATGCCTTTATCCTCAATTTTAAAGGCTTAGCCGGTTCCGACGCTTCGTTGGCAAGGCTGACCTGGAAGCTTCATCCCTCGTGTATGACACGACATCAGGGGCTTATTATATGAAACCCTTAATCGACACACTTCCTTCACCTTTATTCCCGTATTCGAAGCCCCAAAAACCCTAACACAACTCAACCATTATTGCACAATGTCGTCTTCTTCTTCCTACAACTCATCCCTTCCCCACTTTGGTAACGAGGACGAAGTGCAGAAATGCTATTGTGACTTGGAAGCACCGGAAAGGACATTGTAGACGACAAAAAAACCTGCACATCGCTTTTTGAACTGTCCCAACTTACTAGTACTCTCCTATTTGATCAATATTTGTTTATTTCTTTATAATGTGATAAAAGTTAGCTTGGATTTTGGTAACTGTCTTGTATGATTTTACTTTATGATGTTTAGGTTAGTTGAAATCTTGATCAATGATGTTTGGTGACTTGCGGTGATTGATCTGTGAATGTTTTGAGCTGAAATTTGTTAAATTTCTTTGATGTTTGATTTTTAATGTTCGATTTGAGATGTTTGAATATTATTTTCTTTTTGACTTGGATAGATGACTCAAAGGAAGAAATGTAAATTCTTCCATTGGATAGATTCTTGGCTAGAACCAGGATACTACAAGGAGAAGTTGTGTGAGATGAAGTAGGAATTGGAGTCCTTGGAGGGTTTGCTTGTCCAGGCCAAGAACAACAAAAGAGTTGCTCAACTGGAAAGGTTTGTGGCTAATCATGAAGCTACGATTCCAAGGTTGAAGAGGTTGGTTGATGTGGACGGTGTTGCTTTGTATCTGCTTTTTTTGTAGGGTTGGTTTGGTGTGTCATAAAGTTATGGAAGTGATAACATAACTTTTAAGTCTTTTTTATGGTTGGTGTAAAAATTCCAACCAAGATGCATGTCTTTTGTACGGTTGATGTATAATTCCAACCTATATGCATGTCTTTTGTTAGATTATGGTAGTGGGGTCAATGTAAGCTTTTGGATGATTCATTCTAGGTTCATTGGTAGTGTTTTGGTCCTAGAAATCAGTTTGTAATATACTCTTTTATGTAAGTTAATGGAATATGTAGTTGGAAAGTGTAATTGTAAATTTCTTGCCCTTACTATAATGAATAGTGTTGTATAATTTTACCTTATTTTATTTGTGAAAGTGTGTATCAGTATATGGAATATGCAGGAGTGGACCACTATGTTCCCTTTTAATGTGCAAAAATTGAGTAACTTTTAAACAATTGGGACCACATTGTTTTGGTGCATGTACATCATACACAAATATTGTTAATGTAACATAATACCCATTCGTGTTCATGTATGCAATAATTTAGTCAACCAGGTGTCTAACATGATAAAATCATTAGATCTACATTAAAACAACTGTAACGCCCCGATTCTCAGGTATGGATTTAAATAAAAGGTTACTTGGTTTTAAGTCCTACTCGACGAGTTGGTTGCCCTACTCGTCGAGTAGCAGCGGGGTGGGATCGTGTGATTACTGACCTACTCGTCGAGTCCATGAAGGGACTCGACGAGTAGGAGATGGCAGATGAAACCCTAAATCCCGGGGTTTTGCACCCTATTTAAAGGAGCCTCAGCCTCCTTTGGCCTCTTTACAGTCTTTGAGAGCTCAGTGAAACCCTAATTCGTGTGGTACTCTTCTTGGTGTGATTTAAGCCTTGGAAAGAAGGTTGGCTAGGAGGGAAAAGCTTAAAGAGCAAAGGAGTTGAAGCAAGGAAGGTGTGGGAAGCAGAACTTACCTCAGCTAGCATCTTCTGGAGGTATCAAGTTGCAATCTTTACTTCCCTTTCCTTCTAGATCTCTTTTCTTTTGGTTGAGTTTTAGGGTTTTATGGATTTTGAGTTGATTTGGTGAGCTATGGGCTAGATCTGAAGTTGTAACTTCAGATCTGGACCGTTCCTAAGTCCTAGAGTCATAAAGTTGCGGGTTTGGGGGTGATTGAGGCCCTCCTTGTGCATGAAACCCCATTAAGAGCTTAGAATTGCCATTAAGAGCCTTTTTAGTCATGCATACACGTAAAGTTTGCAAATTTACGTGAAAAGCATGCTCTAGAAGCTTGGATCTATAATTTGGAGCCATTGCATGGCTTAAATGAGTCTGTTTGGCTTAAGGACTGAAGGAACTCGGTGAGTCGCAAGGTTGACTCGGCGAGTCGTATGAAGATGGCCTTGAACTCGACGAGTTGGATGAGCAACTCGGCTAGTCCGATGAAGATTGCCATAGACTCGACGGGTTGTATGAACAACTCAGCGAGTCGGATGAGTTTTCCCCAAGTTATGAATGCGTGTGTATCCGTCGTGTTGCCAGTAGGAAACTCAACGGGTGGCTTTAGGGTTCGATC